TATCTGTTAGGCATCTTGATGGTTTTGGTAGATCGGAATAATTGTACCAATGTCCTCCATTTCCGCCCCAACATTTCGCTTCCGCATGCCGAGGCATCCAGGTCCTGCATGTTGCAACCGTCGGAGATAACAACTTGGCTGTAAGCCGGGAGCATGCATTTTGTTTTCTGTTGATATTAGGCTGGAAGCATTCTTTGGATTGGATGGAAGGGGGCAAAAAACGACTGTCACGAGGCATTTGTCATTGTAACTAAGAAGCAAACGACACCATCCGAATGGGTGATCCGCTTCTCTGGATAATCCAATTCATTCGCATTGTAACTCATGTTGTTAATGCGTCAACATACCAACGCCCCTGCTTTATTAATCATGTCAGAACAGTGTCCGTCGCTGTAATGCGATCTCGACATCTGTAATTTCTGAGCGCAACTAAGTCTTGGATTTGTAAATAAGATACCAAGCGTTTGTTGCCTGGCGCAACCGCAGCTCGGCGATTCCGCTTAGGAGCTTTTGGGCATTGGGTTATACTAGGAATTATTTTGCTCCTCTGTATCGATCTAAAAACAATTTAGCTAGGATGACAGGTTACGCCAACCATTATTTGGTCTGTCGGTAGCCGATTTTTGGTGGCATAAGCAGCCATTCGCTTGCGCTTGGGATCTAGGTTATCGTAAATAGCCCCAATTTCAACATAGTTTGCACCAGGTATGTAGAGTAGCTGCTTGATTTAATAGGAATAACATCACTGTTTTAGAACCTGCTACCAGTGTGAATTTCCGATGTTATCCCACATTTGTTTGCCTGTTGTTTTGATGCATTTGTTCAGGTGAAACCTTTGTCTGCAACTTTGAACTGTAGATAGGTTGACAGTCTCTTTCGAATTAAATACCATCGTTGCTGTAGCGGAAGTGTAATCTGTGTTGTTTGTAGCCAAACCTTCAATATCCTAGGACACTTTTTGAGGCTTACCGATATTGACAGACTTGAGGGATAAGTGGCCACAACGTCATCCGTTTGCAGGGTATCAAGAATATAGCACTGCTGCTGCTAGTTGTGAGCCTAAACTCCGAATTCGTTCTGCTCATGACACTGCAGGACGTCGTAGACAAAATTTTCAAATAGCTTATCATTAGGCGTTTGCTTGTGTTCGCCACATGGAAGTTAAATAAAGTTGCATATCAAACAGCTATCGTATTTGGGACGAGCTGTTGAAAGCAACACTGCTTCCATCTCATCAACATGGTTTAATACAAGCAGGAACAGTCTAGCTTTTCCATAATGCTTATTGTTTGGGTGGCGGTTGATCCTCGTCAAAACATAAGGCCTATATTTTGCTACCTAGCAGGATGCTTATGCTGCTACAAAGGTTCAAGTCATTCACATGTTTCTCCTTCAAAGAATACGATGTTGGCTCAGCAAGGTTGGTACATATTACTGACAAGACACCCTACTTTTCTGAGCTTCTCCCATCGAAGAATGGGTTGTGGTTGGAACAGTGTATGAGTTGTTACGTATTACAGCAGCGTTGTCTCTCTCATTACTTTTGATTGCCACTGCAAAAATTCTGCTGCTGAATTTGAAATTTTCTTAGGTGCAACTACTTGTCAGTTGCCAGTTATTATAAAGTTCCTGGTATTGGGCAAAGCGAAGGAAGAAGTAAGTGGGTTCGGAAAAACTGTGGTGAACGGGCTTGAGAATAAGTGTTTGGAAAATCTTTAGAGATTTGCAGTAGTGGTGTTGTCTAAAGGAGTGAAATATTTGGCCTACCGTCCTGCTTTGTTGAATTAGGTTACAGCGACAATCTCTGAGGAGACATAGGAGTCATCATTCTACCATGATCTTTCTTACTGAAGCATTGGTGGTGCCCATAAATTGCTCCACCACATCTGTTAGACCCTCATATTTCTGGGACAGTGTATTTATCGTCTTAACTAGTAGGATGTTATTCCTTTTGTTCAGAATTAAAATGAGCCTGCTCTGTTCATTAATCTAAATTGGTATTTGACATGGAATTTGTTCGAGAAGCTGGAACATGAAACCATATGTTGACCATCTTCTCGCAATTACCTTTAATCAAAACACGTATATTGATAGTATCGTTACTCGGAAACGTAAGTAGGGTGCTGAGAAGACTTTGAATTGTCTCGGACGCCATGTCTAATAGATAAGCCATGCTGGATGTCCCGTAACATTGTTATGCTGCAGCATGCAGACTTGATCAGTGGGTTATTTAAGCGTCTTTAGCTAATTCTTTCGAATGTGACCAAAATGTTCCTGGAGAACCTCTGGATTGATGTAGTTACACACTTAGAACAAGGCAATGGTTTTGCCAGAATTCTGTACTGGTTAACGATTATGATTAACCTAAATTAGATCCGGGAAGAAGGAAGCGCTTATACCGCTAGTCAAACTGCTTAGAAAGAGCGTACGCACTAGAATTTGTGATTGCAAATTAGATAGCCAGAGCGGACTAGTTGAGGGCACAGTTAGAGTGCGGTCACGGAAAGCACCGTTTCAAGTGTTGTCCAAAGAAATCTTGAGGACACAATTGATGGCTATGTTAGAGATGTTACAAATGCCGTCAATTTTATGTTAACGTCCCCGTTTATTACTTTAATGCCAGATGTAAATGAACGGGCGGGGGATTGCGTTAAACTTCGAGCTGTCTCACATCCTAATATCTAAACTACATGTGCTCCATCTGCTAAGTAGCTTGTATTGGAAAGCCTAATGCCCGGAAGAATTGTAGTCACAGAACCCGTTTTTAAAACTTGTAACAGACACGCTAATATGTCATTGGTAGTTGAGTTTAGGGAAGACTGTTTTAAATGAAAACACGGTGCAGTCACATAGAGGGAGAATTTACTAACAATCCCATTTTATTACATTATGTATTTCAAGCGATGTTTAAAAGTCATGCGTTAATCACCGGTATGCAAAGATCGCATGTATCTAGTCCAATTAATTTAAAGAATGGATGCAAACTAGAACCTACGTATGGCAAATTGTCATGGTAAAGGAGAATTTTGGCTTAACTTGAAGTTAAAAAATAGACGAAGCGAAATAGACACCAAAACTTGTATTTTGCTTCTCCGGAACAAGGGAATGGACATGGCGAACCCCATACAACTTGTTTACGGAAAATTTACTATAGCAAAATAGCTGGATCGCTGCTTGACCGTGTCTAATTTCGCTGTAACGAAATTTGTTGTTGATGGTGTCCAGACATATCACACTACCGTACAGGTAGTGCAATCTACCGGTGGCCGAGTGGTCTACACGTTTGGTTTGCAACCATAAGGTCACCGGTTCGAATCCGCGTAAGGGTGGGCGATCTTGCGGTATATTCAGCCCGCGCGCGACAGGTGTTGGTCGCGCGGCAGCGAAGCGCTGTTACCGCGTACAGCTGACACACCTTATTACAGGTAGTGTACTTGTCTGCTCTCAATATACACTGCCTGATAATATCAGGACGTCGTCCAAATATAAGCTGTTTAGTAGGTCATATTACCGGATGATCCTACAAATTTCGGAAATCCATGGTAATTTTCAGTTAATGTAGCCTGCGCAAAATATGATGAGATATCCGATTTGATGAGCAACCTTCCGACCTTCGACTGCTAATATGATTTCGTAGACCTATAATGTACATAGGTAGTCAGTAGGGAAGTTTACTTTCAAAAGCAAAGAATAGCGCTTAAATTTTAAGCGCAAGTTAGTGTCATGATACCCTATTCCGTTCGGAGACAATACCAAGAACTTTGCTGTACAATCAGACACAACCTGTAGTTTGTCGGTTTTGCTTGGAAAACTTATGCTGTGTTTGAGAATGTAAGATTGAGACCAAATTTTCAATGCTAGCACTGTGTTAGGAATTGTTTTAACACTTACATATTAGGGGTTATGATCATAGCTTTAGTAGATAGCAACAAAAAAGCGTTGGCCATACCGTCATTTTGAAATCATTAAATTCTTTCTTTGAATATTTTATTGACTGAAAAGGACCCGCTAAGTTCGCGCTGAATCAGTGGGACAACCTTTTATTCGCTATTTATATGCGTCAAATTTTGATATCTAAATATAACTATGAGTAGGCTTTTAAAACGAATTATTTCCAATAAGATACCGATCTCCAGTCATTTTACAACGGTCATGGTTAGAGTGGGCATCCCAGCAGACCAAATATAACCTACGTGATTACTGAACTGGTTGCGTATTTTGTTTCCGAGATAATCATCTATTTTAGCATCCAATGAGCTCCGGTCACTTTGCTTCCAATGAGCAATGATACATTGGGGTCCTCAGCCATTACAAAATCCACTTCAGCTAGGAAATACCACTTGTTCATGTCGTGCTATATTGCTAAAAAGACAGCAGTAAGGGTAAGCAAAGAAACGTGGGAAGTAATAGCACTTCATAAAAGTTTAGGTTATCCCTCGAGCCTAACTGGAATCTAATTATGTACCCAATAAAACGGTCTCCCGCTATCGTTCTGATCGTAAGTAATGACTGTTTCGGCAAAACGTCAAATTAAAAGACCAAAATCTTGTCAACCTTGGTGGTAACAACGTTTAATAAAAATGTTCAACCCTGGACGGCTCTTATTATTGAGTCATTTTAACAGACGAACAAAGGAGTAACTATAAGTGAAGGTCGCAAAAATTATTATACAACGCAGGCCGCGTAGACGTGTGTAAGTTTTACGTGCGACTTCGGTAAATTGTTTCGTCGTGCGAATAGAAATAACGATTAACTGGGAGTTTGCTTGATGTTTTCAGCATCTATTTTCACGAGTCTTTGGATCATAGTTGATTTTCGTTTCGTTCTAATAAGATACATCAGCTGAAACATAAATATTGATTTGGTCCATGTTTATGCAGTCAGTTAATATTAATCTGCTACCAGAAGCCGTCGCATGGCTAATTATTTAAATAAATGTAAAATCCTTTATGAATTTTTCATCGAATTACTCTAAAGGAAGCGTCAACTAGATTTAAAATTTAACTATATTTGTTTTTCAGCTCAGGGCTTACAGTTGTTAAATGAGCAAAGCAAATGTCATCTCGAATTGCTGTTCTCTCCTGGAACATATTAATAAAGACATTTAAGAGGTCCGGATGCTTTGTGTTTAGCTCCACAGGCTGCGATTCAGATGGAGAATACGTTTGACTCACGTACATCAAGTGGTTTGGAATCGTCGTATGAACGGGACAACAGGAGTCATGTTTTGTCCGCTTTACCATCGTGGAACCGGTGGAATGTTCAAGGGGAGAACAACCATGTTTCCTTCCAGCTAAGTACGCTGAGACAACAGTATCAGAGTTATCTAAAACGAATGGTTTTAAATTGAAATCTGATGGACAAATTGTGGTACAGTTCCTTTTAACTGCGGACGATGACAAATTTGTTTCCAATGATTTTTCGTCTCCTTTTTCTCGGTAAGGTCGACTGCATGATTCCATGTCATGTTTCGAAATTTGTGAAGGTTGTGAAGAGCAACGTTTGCAGCTCATGTGTAGTCGAAACGCTAGCAGGGTTATTGAACAGAGCATCACACACCCGGCACCAGCCAAGCAGAAGATAAGCCAAATGTTGACTTCAATTAACTCTGAGGTTTGTTGTCTTGATGGCGGATTGATGGCAGTCCAATTGACCACATGTATTGGCGTTCCAAATCCGTGCGATTTATCTGCCACAACGGGGTGTGTTTGATAATTAGTAAGTTCCGAATAGTTGGGGGAGCCATACTTCAAGTAAAAGTTTTGTTCGTCACTGTGCTGGCCGTCAAATTTACTATATTTAACTTGCCCGAGTTCTGTGTTGGAAACACTAAAATAAAGTGTAGGATTTATATCAATACAAAATAGAAATAAGCTTGGAGGTGTGTAAGTGCACTAAATATTTTTGGCATCCGTACTCCTGAAAGTTAGATTAAATAAATAGGTTGGCTTCGCATTCCACGAATATTTCACGTGGCAGATTTGGATTAAAGTGGTTATACTTTCAGAGTTTCGATTCCACAATTAGTTACAGTACATGCAAAAGGTGAAAAAGGACACTGAAACTATAAAGTTATGAAAATGTATGAGAGGCTCAACAGTAATGGTTTATATTTAATAACGCTTGCGTATACCTTATAATTATTACCATAATGGGATTAATAGCTGGTGACTTCTGGTATTTCTACATAGATTCGTATACTGACACCTGCTCTTAGTAGGTAGCGTACGGTTTTTTTTGCGGAATCATCTGATACATGTGGCCATCCTAACCACTACAGTTTGGAATATCATATTTGCACTTTCTAGAAAACCAGTGCAAAATATTATTCAACGGTTGGCATGTTACTTTCACTTTCTCTGGTTTATGTTCCGCGTCCCATGCAACCTGCTTTTAACCTTGATTTAACAAATATGACTAGAAAATTTTAAAATTTAAATTTAAATTACAATTGCTTTTTGTCGTGCATGATTAGGTATCTTTCCGCTAACTCAAATGAAATAAACACAACATTTAACTCGATTCAATCCAACGTATTTGAATATGTTGTGTTCCATGCCAACATTTACACTTTATCCAATATAAGTGAGGCATATCCCCTTATTACTGTCTAAAAGCGAGATTAGTCGTTTAACATTATAAAGACTCTAATTATGGAAGAGGCAAGGTGCTTGCTGTTTTATTTGCATTACATTAATAACATCTTTAATTGGACAACGAAGACTTGTTCCCATTGACAACAAGCTACACAAGCAAACTAATAGGAGGGTAGAAATGCGTAAAATTTCGCTAGCGTTGCTACTTTTGATGTAACATTGTCTCATTGAATGTCGTACCAACCGTTGAATTTATGGTGCACATAACTGGCAAGGCATTTTGGTTAACAATTTCTCTCTCTTCTAATTACTATTTGCATTTTATGGCGGGTTGTTAAATATTTGTATGCACTGCTGAAATAATGTTTCTTTTAAGGTTAGCTATCCAAATAAAAGCAACTATTCCTTGTCTTGTTGAAGGTCCAATTATTTCGTAAAATTTTAAGTGAACCACTTTAGTTGGACGTCGGCTAGTTTATGCGAATTATTTACTTTAGCCAACTTACCTCGTGAATGGACTTCCAGGCGCCAGTCTGATGAAAGTGTTTTGCACGTGCCTAACAGTATCGTAATTCGTTACTTTGACAAACGGTCGATGGTAAAGTCCAGCTGCCAGATCGTTTAGCAATAACCCGTTATAGTACACACCTAAAAAATACAATATCACTCGTGAGTTGCTTAAAAGTCAAACTTACCATACTTGCAACAAGTATATGGCGCTAAAATCAGATGATATCTTTAAGATAATATTAATTGCTGATGTAAGTCTTGGCCTTGCTTAGGTTGTAGTTTACTCAAAATGTGCTCTGCATTTAAATCGCTTTTCTAAACTTATTGTCCATGCAAAATACACTATTAAACTTACATGATAAGAGCTTTGAGAGCTTACATCCTATATACAAGAATATTATTTGAATAACATGTGTATCAACACGTGAACGTTGCACAACTCTAATCAGTTATGAACGTACTTTTGCAAGATAGATTGAATAAAGTGTTGGACCGCATCTTCTATAGATTTCTTCTAATCTTTACACTTACCGATTAAATATATTGGGAAGATACAAGGCAAATGTATTAGTGGTACACCGCCAAGCCATATAGTTTCTTGTTCATTGAATTGTCTGCCCGTTTTTCCTGTAATGTATGAGTGCTGCAGTAATGTATGAGATACTTTGATATCAAGGAAAACATGTCAAATTGCTGCCATTGAGAGGTTTATATCGGCTTTGTTATGTCGGTTTCCGTAAATGCGCATTCAAAAATTCTAGTGAATTCTTTTATGTTTGATAACCTGATTGCCTGAGGACTGTACACTTATTAAGAACGTCTTATTTCGAAAGAAAAATGTGAAGCTTTACTTAATATTTCAGAAACCATCTACAGTGCATGGGATAAAGTTGACCGCCACACCGATGCAAATTCTGAAGCCATATGTCATACAGATGCATTTTTGCAAGTAAACAGCTGCGCACAATTTACTTCAAATATCATGTTCCCATTATAAAATGCACTGGCTTGAATCGATTTCTAACCCTTATTTTTCATGTAAAAAGATTGTGGCAACAAAATGACACGGAAATTGTAGAATTTATTCTGTCCGTAAGTCGAATTGGATATTTCGTGCGAAAATTTATTCCCCTATATTGAACACTTTTCCAAACACCGGAAGAGTTAACAGAGCCTAACAAAACTCCTAACTTAAATAATTCTTACCTTGCTGTTAATACTAATCAAAGAATTACCATATTAAATGGCGACCAAAATATATACAGTTATATAAAGTTTTCACATCTACACATGTGGTACACCGCTTCTTTGCATATCGATGCTTTACTAGTGACATCGAGTTCATAAACGCAACTCTCAGCTTTAATTTAAATACATTTATATACATCATTCCTGAATTAGACATATTTGTCTATAAAAAATAAGCAGTTACTTTTTACCACTTTTGCGACAGTTCAACCATGACTGTGACAAGCTCAGTAGCGTCTGAGATTTTCTTGAGCGACCCGCACAGAACAAACGCAATTTGATGACACATTACACGTCGCAAATTTGGTCATTAACACCAAACTAGAACATTCTGTAACCGCAATCGATTTACATACGTTAGAAAAAAGTACTTTCGTCTCATTTCTACTAATTTGGCAAACGTAGCTTAATCCTGAACATTCCATCTTAAGCAACGTAAAGTCGCTTGCATGTTTTATAAAAAGAATATGTGTAGGTTCGCTCTTTTAAGCTTGCTGCTGCGGAAGGACGAAACAGAAACAGTTGGATTAAAAACTGTATACTTTTATAATTGGCACGGAAAACACAGGTATTACGCGAATAAACGTTTCCGGAACTGCAAATTATGAATAAAGTCGGCTAATAGGAATCATTAAAATATGCCTCCATTTACTGGTAGTTTGTTCAACCATATCTTGTCAAACAATTGGAATTTGATGATTATTATTTTGGTGATTGTTGCATTCATCTGTCGAAGGAAACAAATATCCTAATACAAACATTTTAGGATTTCTATATTCTAGTTTATGATATTTTATTTAGTCAATCTGGAGAGATTTTGAGCGAATTTGTGAAGGTTGATTAATCTGTGGCAGGTAAAATGCAACGTACATGTATGTGTTACTTAAGCCGTAAGAATTTAAATTTAAAAATGCGATTCGAGCAACTTACTTATAAATTCATGCAAGTTTTAACGAAACGCAATCCTAATGTCTCGAAGGCAGACAGTACACTATGAAAAGTGCCGGTCCAAAATGATAATTCCAACAACATAAGGCATGTTAAAATTAAACTGTCGACCGATCATAATCGTTGAATATTTGCTAATTAGATAAGCTGTATTTTTATGTGATAGGGTACCACAACCTCGAATCAATGAAATATTACGTTACGGGACAACAAACCGATTGCTCTCAAACAATGTAAGACCAAGTTCTTTCTGTCTGTGCTTCATCTAAGTGAGCAAAGTTACTAAGATTGGTCGACTGCACCAAGCTGCTTTATTTTATTAATGATTACTTGGGATCATGAACGCTTAATCAGATTAACAAAATATGCAGTGTTTCCACAAACCCGACTGTTTCAGTGTACGTATTTGAAAACACAAGTTACTTTTGAAATTCATTACAAATAACTCTAACTGCTCTATATTTATTTGTATTCATTAGAATATAATTCAATAAAGCATCGATAACTTAGACATCCTATACCTTGTCATGAAATGTTACTATGTTTCACGTAAGATGTATGATATAACGGCAGATGATCAAAATACAATCGTCTACCGTACGGGTATTAGGCTACAAGTAGCTTCAAAACAATGGGTCAGGCAACACATTAATAACATCATCAATAACATCAAAAACATAATAGGCAAATATACAAGAGTATTCGAAGGTGGCGATTCGTCTGCACAGATGATTCAGATATAGTTGTAAGCGCCGTGGTAAGACTATTATTACATCCGGAGAGTTTAGCATCTACGTCGACAATAAAATACAAAAACCTGGGCAATCCATGGTACATTTGCAAAGCTTCCACCATTAGATTGTTGCAAAGGGCAAGTGGAGAATCAAGTGGAGTAATAGATTCGATCAATGATGTAAAACATCCGGGCGCGACGAAATGCAGCCCTTTTTATCTTTGTAACTGACCCGCGGCATTATCAAAAAAATTGTTAATTCGGGTTTGGATTGTTTCTCTCTGTATAAAATTGTGTTATGGTCTTAAGGTCGAACTGAATATGGTCCGATGTATATTTACCGCACAAAATGTGACCCAACTTGCAAAACGTTTGACACGCCTGTCAGAGATGAACATCTCATGTTCTCAATGTTACGTTTGGGAACAAAACTTATTAACTTAATTGTTCTTTAATTCACGGCTTCGATTAATGGGTTTCATTAAGCTACCGGAATGGTAAGAATTTTGTAATGTACGAGGAACCTATTACCAGTGATATGGACTTGATGCATATAAATATTTAAAATAAATTGCTGTTAAGAACTTAATTAGAAATCAGTTAAATTGCATTAATATAGTATGTTGCAATTATTTTTAAAAAATATATTGCGGACAAAAAAGTCTAATAGGCTAATTACTGTATATTGGAGTGGTACTTGTTGGTCAAGCAGAAATTAATGAATTGATGCATTTGTGAACGACAACAGCACACAGACGTTTTAGTTTGTTTATTTGAGAACCCAAATGAAAAAAATCTGATAATTCTCGTTTTTTCCTAAGATGCGCTGTATGATTATGCATCGGATAAAAAATGCGGGTAATTTTTTCCCACATAATTAATTGGTGCGAGCTTTTTCAAACAAAGAAAAATGGTAGAAAAGTGAAAATTTCATAAATCTATACAACAATTGGCAGGGCCATTAGAACCAATTTGCACACAATTTTACGTGAAGTGTGTTGATTTTGGAAATAGATAAATAATGAAACAACAACCTTTATGAATCTCTAGGTCCGAAAATTACTTAACATTTACGATTATAATGGCTGCAGAAGAAGCTGTGGAACCATTTTATTTCACCCTTCACGTTCATATACTAGCAGCCAATCCGAGGTAAAACTGTTGGGTAAGGTCTGTAAGTAATGTAGTATAAAACTACATGTGTTAAAATAAATAATTTTTAAACTATCAGCGGGTGTGTATGTGAGAATTCAGTGAATATGCAAAGTAAAAGCAATCATAATCTGTGTTTTGCTTGAAGTCAGCCTACGGTGTAGCGAATGTTATCTACACGCCACTCTTACTCCGGCGTCTTTACAGCTGTCTGGATTAATGCCGTCTTCTATGAAAATATTACGATCAACATTTTACGTGGATGAAAATCGTATCTTCCATCAAAGAAATTTCTCCCGTAACATCAGGAACTACCATGATTTGCTGCCTTAGGTATTATAGTCATCTGTAACGAAGAATATGTCTGAATAAAGGACGGATCAGAGATGTAACTGGTGAAAGGTAAATGGTATCACTTGATGAGAAGCGAAATCAGTGCCGAAAATTTAAACGAACAAGATAACCAGTAGCTGCAGGAGTGTTCGCTAAAAATTATTTATCAAAATGATCGTCGGGTAAGTTTTGTATGATATCCTTCACTCAGCTCTTGTTACCATTGGCATAGATTTAAGACAAACACAAATTCAAAGTTAATATTTCACTTAGTATTACGCTGGCGATATATATGTTACATTCATCCAACCTGCCTTATTACTTCTGAAGAACATATTTGTACTTATTGGGATTTTATAAACATCGTCGTTGTTTACTACAAATGAAAGCAGTTGTATCCAACATACATTAGCATTTCGCGGTGTATATTTTTAAACTGTAATTGCATTTTAATGTTCTCAGCTATTTTATGCGCAACACCGTTACTTTTAATCTGTTAATTCGATCATGTATTACCATGAATGTGAATCCACGCGTGGGAAACAGACAGTTTGTTGGTAAGAAGTAAAGTCATATCCACGTCGGGATTTGTGCTTAAGCTCAATATATGATTGAAATTACCATTGGCTTTCACGGATTTTAACCCCTGCAAAGCTTTTGAAAAATTAAACACTTGGCTACAAGTTAGATAAATGGAATTGTGCTAACCATTTTAACTGAGTGCACGTTGCCTCAGGTGCAACATAGATTTTCCAAGTTGCGACATAGAAAAACAGAAGCATTGTTAGCTATTTATTAATTTGGCAGCAGTTTAAATTTTAGGTAGTTTATAAATAGTTATATACTTGGCTGGGCTGTTCTTGGACGGATGTAAATTGCATGTAGACGGCCTCTGATTTATTCCAAATACACCGAAGATTTGGCAATTAATTCCGCAACATGTATATGTGTATTGTTCCCAGAATTTATACAAAGTTCCAAGAAACGCCTTCATAGAATAAGATTTCGTTGCATTACCGAGTTTCATATGAGTTTGCCGGCAAACTCGATATATTTCTATTTATATTATGTGCCTATATCATAAAATAATTTGGGTATCCGTGGACTTTGTTTATCCCGTAAGAGACAGCCTAAAACATAAAGTCAGGGAAGCATCGCGAGCGGACTAAAAGTGTTAAATTTAGCAAGATGTATACTGTGTGTTGCGCTGAGCTGCAGGACTCCAATAAATAAGCTAGATACGTATATGTAAAGCCCCAATTTCACTACATTTATTCGAAGTTTTTAGGATAAATAATATTTTCTGGACTGAATTCAGCTACTGAACTTAAATAATAGCACCATTATTTATTAGATATTATTTGGTTAACTTGTGATGTTATAACGAACAAAAGTTTCTTTCACGCGAGAAAATTCAAAAACCGAGGGATTTAATTTCACAACGTACTTATCAAAGTACACTTTGGACATATGCTAAATTTGAAAAATACAAATTAAACGCTTTTCTACTGTGTTTCAATAATCCTACTATTTAATTAACAGTTTTTCATGGCGACAAGTGCCCACTTAAATTCTTCTTGCGTTATGGGCGTTAATGCGCAACATTAACCAAGTTTCTTGCGGGGTTCAACATAGTTATCATGAGTTAAACACAAGCTGGTTAAGCAGCTGTTTCATGAATAAATAATTCGATGTTTTAGTTATAAACCGTTGTGCCAAGTGTTGCTCTTTGTATTCTAGTGGCTTAAGGGTAGCGGTCAAATATAACATCCCAAAGGTCTCGGTTCCGATGCCTACTAGCTTGGTCTGATTAGATAAAATGAGGTCAAAACGTGTCATGGGAATGCAGAGTTTTCGAGCGGGCAACACCGAATTACTATCTACTTCAGCCACGATCTCCTTGATCGAGAGACCAATGTGCACTTAAGTGGGAATCTCAGTCAACATTGAGATTGCATGTCGCAATCAATCCATGCAACGTACACCTCAAAAGGACCTTGAATATCAAGCACAAACTCTTGTGCCAATCATTGCACTTCCTGTCCCGGTGACTTAGGTGCATCGGTCACTTATAACATCCCAATGGTCCCGGGAACGATGCGTCATATCTATAAATGATATGAACGAAAGGGAGTGCAAGGCGTCATAAGACTGCAATGCTTTTGGCTGGCTACGTCCTATTTCTAGCTGTTTCAGCCACAATCTTCCTGACTGAAAAACCAAGGTTCAATTCAATGCGAATGACCGTCAGCATTGAGAATGTGGGCCGCATTTCACCCATAAACGTACTTCAAAATGACCTAACATATTGGTATGAGCTATTACTACATCGAATATTAAAGGTTACCACATTTTTGTGCTAAAACTTAAAGATGTCACATTATAAGAAACTGGTTTTCTTAATAGTGATTTTTACGTATTCTTACTAATGCATATTATCGGGTGTGATATATAAACATGTCTACATAAATTTCATTCTGCCTTGCCGCGGGAACCGTGGTTAAAACCGTCAAGATCATGGATTGATAGATAAGTCTGCCTACGCAATGTAAACGATAGCCAGTGGTTGTTGTGCTACCTAAGTGGGATCAACAATTAACACGCAATGTTTGTGTGCAAGACGGAAAAGATTTCATAATTCAATAAATTGAACTAGAGAATAGGTTATGTATCGGACAGCTAATCTTAGCAATTGTTGCTACGTTATGCAAGTCTCTAGAAACGCTGTGTGCTTTGCTAACATATTGAGGTTAATAATATAGCATAACCAATATGTTCAATCCTATTAAACTTCTCTAGCGAAATTACAGTGCATGTATCCTCTAATAAACCACATGCAAGATGTATATATGTTTATACTCAATTAGCTTGCAGTCTACAATAAAATATGTATCCAGCTCCTCGCACTTACAAAAATTATTACTTAAAATCCATTTTATCTGCTCATTAAAGGTTTAGAAAGGTAACATCAGCTTAGCACATGAACGGGAACTTACTGTCGCGTGTCCAAATACTTCCAACTCTAGTAAATATGAAAGGTAATATTGCTCGAATTTTCAAAATAGAGGACAGGTTTTAATTAATACCCAAAACCAAAAGCATTTAACCTATTATATCGACAGTCCGTATTAGCTCTGAAGTACATGAAAATGTGCTAAAATTATTCATTTTTGTTTATTATTTATTTATTTATTTATTCACCTAAATAAAAAGGAAGCGTATTAAAATTCGCATCATCTTTTGGAAAACCGTTAAAGAACTATTTTTAATTATTGGTAGTTTAGTTATTCAGTTGAATATTTTGCCGTTGTTTTAACCCTCAGTCTATCTAACCTATCTATCTATCTAACCCTCAGACTATCTAAAGAAAATGAATAATAGCTGGTGTCCATTGTGAAGCAAATTTACATTATAAAGGAAGTAAACCTTACTATATGATAATTATTAAGAAAGTTTAAAACTGGCTTATAATTGGTCTGTTGTGCATCTTGAACAAGCATTTGAATTAATGTGACTGAAGGCACATACATATTGTTTGTGATTAAGCTATTATTTTTGTTTGACAATACGTCTTGCTTACCTTGTAGTACGTGAGTAGATAGCTTTTTGTCTACCTCTAACAGCAATTGAAAACCATTGCGAAATCCGCGAATTCTGTGAAAATATCCGTCGATTAAAGATATATTTGGACCAGTAATACGCTTTAACCCACCGCCCAAATCGAAGTCTATTTGAAGAAAACCACCTACCTAAAGAAATAAAAGGAATATAATTTAAACAGGCATAGATACATGCTACCAGGCAAAATATGTCAGTTAATCTGGCTACCTTGATGCTTTTAAAGTTGAGGCAAAGATTTTTATCATATGCGCAATATGGAGTGGTGTATCCATGGTTTACCACACATGGTCTAATATTCGCTGTTTCCTGATTTACTTATTATTATACAAAGCTTATGTGTATAAAATGAATGCAGTGTGCTCAAGTATGTAATGGCTATGTGTCACACTATGTACTATATAACAATAATAAGTTTATTATTATGAAGAGTGCTTTATTCCTAATATCAGCAATCAACATTTTAGAAACCACCAATGGTAGGCATTACATTCCCTTTAATAGATGATTGAATAGGGTGTAGTATAGTTTTGGCGTCACGAAGTGGAAGTACATCTAATCAATCTTTATATATTGCTGTTATTCTTTCAAAAACTAAATCAGAATAAGATAAAAAGATACAAGTCCAAACATATTCGAAAACTTCATTAGAGCCATGCAGCTAAACTAATATAAGGTCTGACTTTGCAAGCGATTCCATCTGCGAAGTAATGAAGTACTCAGATTAAACTTCTGACGGTGATTAGGTTGTTAAATACGTCTTATTTGTTCACCTTAATAAATGTAAAACAATATGCCAAACCACAAACTAACGTTATTATATTTAGCTGAACAGTTTAACAACTAAACTAAACTCAGAATTTGATGCAATAAAACTCGATAAATATGCACACAATTGTTAAGTGTATATGCATTCTGGTGCGGCAGTATCCTATTAAATAAATGAACGAAAATACCTGCTGTTGTTGGAACTAATAGCGACAGTTCTTCTAAATATTTTGATGCTAGTTTCTCTCCTTCTCTTAACAAGTGCCAAAATACCATTATCAGGCTGTAGGAGAGGGAATAATTAAGAATACCTAATTCGATATTCGGAATTTTGAACATGCTTAAAAAATAAACCCAGTAATTTTGGAACTAAACGTATGGTGAAGAGATAATATAAAGCACAGTTGATTTCATATTTCTCGAAAGCGACATGACGGACATTCAGCAAATTAACCAAGACTCCCATTTTATATTTTTAATATTTCTGTCTCATATAGCAGGCCGCATGCAAAATGGTTAACTGCAATTATGAGACTGACAGGTGCTTTGCTAATTTGCTTGTTGTACACAGTACTTTAAAGGTGCTTAACGGAGGATGTTTATAGAAAACCTAATATATTCACTGAGTTATAAATCCATAAAACCTAGCATCGTGTTACCTTTGCAACTATAATAATGCATAAATTTCTAAAATATTTCTTACCAAGTAAACATGTAGAAAATCCCCTGAGAATTTTTTGTTTGCTACGTAGAGCAGACTGCACGTTGCTGCTAATTTGGGTTGGTAATGTGTTTCAACAGACGAATTATTCCATGCAGCCTGAATGCCTATTACAAATTCATCCTTCAATGTATGCCTTGCGCCATCTGTGTAGGTGAAACATAGGTAACTGGTGCTCCTCGATGAATGGCCATATTTGCTTGCTGTTCGAGTATTCATTTCGTGTGCCCCACTGATGCCAATGTTAATGACTGTTCCGGCTGAAAATGCATACACTTATTGTACTTAAGTTTTGCAGGGAGAAATATGGCATATATCGCACATACAATAATGATAATTATTAGCTGTTGTTGCCCAATTATAGAGAAATAAAGGAAGATGCATTCATTTGTATCTGTATCAAACTCATCCACGCAGAATTTGTGCAACTGTCTGGATGCGTTGCGCTCTAGTACGCCAGAATCGTCCAATTATAAGTTTGGACTTACCCGTGCTGAGCAAATGATCCATTTGAGACTTGCGAAACTTAAATTCTATTGTACTTTGCATCGGTCTTCATCTGCTTCTTATACACAGACAGACTGCTATCGAGTCAGTGACGCACTGAGATAAAACCCTTGTTTGATTTTGAATTTTTTTAACAAATTTTCCGAACCCAGCGCAACCATAAGACACCGAACCAACGTTGACATGTAAATAGCTAAAGGCTATCATAAGGGCTGCGCTTCACCAAAAGTGATTGAGTTTAAAACCAGTATATATTAAAATTTTCGTCATAACTTTCAAACGTTCACTCAAATTACCACTAAATGGAGATATCATTTTTACAACTCGAATGACACATGTGCTTCTAGTGCTAATGTAATATAGTTCATAACAACTACATTAAGCCAACATCTATATGGAGTATTATCAAACTATATTTTTACCCTATTGGTGGTTGCCAGTTTAGCGCCTTTCCCTGTTCCCTTGCCGCACGGTGGAATCCAAGACCGCTTGGCATGCTAAGGATTGTGTAAGCTTATTCATGTTACGAATTTAGCTTAGGGCAATGAAGATGATTACATACACCTGCAATTAAATAGCATGGATGCTAAAAGCAACTAATTTTAATCAACTCTATGTGGTAGGGGATTTGTTAGTTTGTAGAGATTCGTTGCAGTTACAGACAGATTGCCACGACACCTCCAGGAACGCTCCAGATGGCCGTTTCGTCTTATTGGGAATCGTCAGTAGTGCGCACCTGCCGAATCCTGCCGGAATAAACTCACGATTTTACTCTTGCGAGCCAGCGACCTATGCTCCTGAGCCACGGTGTCCCGCTGCCGTCGCCCATGACTTAGTTGCATAAGTTGCTGGAGTGCAAGAATGAGGTCATGGGTTTGAATCCGGTAGGATTTGCGGTGTGCAGGCTACCGACGAAACCCAATGGGGCCAAACGGCAATCTGGAGCATTCCTCGAGGGGCCGCGGCTGACGGCTTGAGTCTAATTGCGACGGATTTTTACAAAATTGTTCAAATCAAATTACTGCACGCGTTAACATAATGCACCAAGTGATCGATTTGGTACTGAAAACAGCTTCTCGTGTTTTCCGGAGATATTCTGATTGATGACTATAATAAAACCTTGTCGCAAGTAAGTTTATGGCGGCGCTCATTTTTCGTGGTATGTATAACAAATATGGCATAAGCATTGAAATTAGTATGTGAAGATAGCTAATACGAATAAATGGCTGCTCATAACTTGGACTTACCACTTACGGCGGTTGCAACTAATTCCTGAAAACGCGGTTGTTTCGCAAAGACACAACGTTCCAAGCCAAAGCTGAACACAGGTACCATCATTGTGACAGTTATCTTGCCATAATGATGGATATTGTTTGTTTTTCGCGTATCGGTCCTTCAGCATTACGGAATCGAAAGCCTGCGGACTTTCACATCGTTTCGTTTCCTTCGGCAAGTTAAGACATCCGGCGTTCACCACACGAATTGTAGCATTACGAAACGTTGTGCGGTTTGGACATGCTAACATATCACTGGATGGTAGGTCATTGACGGAAAAGTTGGCCAGGCATCCCTGGTGACGGGAATCAAAAGTTTGTATAACATCATTCACAAAATCGTATACGGTGCTATTATTCAACATGGGCAAAAAATTCGTATATTTTATTACTGCTTTATCCGTGGTTATAATGTAAAAACGAGGTTTTTACTACTAAAATCCACCAATAAATTTCTTGTTGTTCTGTGTCGATGAAAAACCATTTTACAAAACATCCCTGTAATAAATATGCAAGTCTGATTAATTTGCACTGCTATTTTACTCTATAACTTTATTACCGCCGATAAAATATAAGCGGTTAATGAATACTAACCTATCGAATTGCGAAGCTGGGCTGTGGTAAAATTGTTGTTATTAATTTAGGATCATTTATCTGTCTGAGTTAAGGATAGTGGGCATTCTTGTCAGGCACATAAGTCGATGCATTTGTCTAACCTTCCTTGGAAACTATGTGCTGAAGTAGTTAGCCATGCAAAAGTTAGTTTTAAATAAGTGGACTCAACCAAAGAGTTTACGCTACCGGAACTGCAATATGTGCCAGTTTTTTCCAGGAACTTCTATAGTGAGAATTGCAGTTTGCTTCTGGGGTGTAGAAATCGCAATCTCAGTGCAAACGGTCTGCCTTTAAAAGCACTGGGCTCAGGGGCTCGGGGACCAACGAACTTGGCCACGTTGTTAGATAACACTCGGCGGTGCTCGCTATCCACTCAGTTGGAAGTTACAGCCAAGTGGAGGACTGTGTTGTTCACTTGTAATGTAAAATTAACCTACATAGTATAATTTATCGCATTGCAATGCAGTAACTAACAGGCTTAAGCCTGCATGCTCATAAGGTTGCATCGGGTTACGGGATTAGGGTAGAAATAAATTAAAATCGAAAATATCGACGCTTTGCGGGCTATGCCTATATATGTGTTATAAAGCACTGTTCACATGTCCGTTTTTACTTTGAAGTATATTTGTCGAAACTTCTATCTAACCACCTATTTCTGTCAGTACGTTAACGAACAATTTACATCTAACTAAATGCAGCATCCAACTGACATTTTTCTGGGTCTAGTATCGGTGCAGAAACGGCCGATTCAAAGAAAGCATTCCACAGGTGACATATGCGCACTGAATCAATGTTTCTGCTACTCTCTAGGTGACTGAAATTCTCTGCTGGTTTTTAGGTATGACCTATCTATTCTGTTTTAATACGGATTTGCTGTAAAGAGCGCACACAAGAGGTAAATCTTGCAAAAGGAAGTAGGCTATAAAAATGTCCCCTCGTACTCGGCGAATTATTTTGCTGTATATCTCAAACTATTTGTTCCTTAATCGGATGCGTGAATGCACAGTCCATTGATGTACTTCGATGTCCGATATTGATGACGCTGCAGCGCAGTTGCGTCATGTTTTGGTCAAGTATAGCAGGCCTTAATTAGGTAGTCAAAATATGCGCTAACACGGCTACTGATCATTTGTGGGAAATAATAGATGTCAGCTTGTTTGAACTACCCTCACAACAAACAAAAAGTATATGTTCGGATGCCCGTTCATAATGGTTAATACAAGTCGTCGTCCTGTTGTAACACGCCTAGGCAGCGTCGCGTGGACAATTCCTGCAATATGGCTAGCATGTAACATTATGTGTTATGCGTCGGCTGGAGAACATACTAAAATCTTTCAAATTAAAGTGAATTTCGTGTTGCCATTGATGTACCAAATTTCGGTTAAACATAAGCAGAGTTTGGCTGACATTCAAATGAATTCACTGCCAATTTTTGTAAAAGTCTGGAAAGGCAGGATACATACGTCGATTGCCTAGGGAATAAATACATAAAGAATAACTAACAGACGAACTAGTTGCCATAGAAATACGCCACTTTTGTGCGCCAACCTAAAGCCCAGAATATTTTCTAATAATTGTGGGTGAAGCGAACTTTTGTGGGGATCGGCTATTTTTCGCCCCATGCTGCTGCCCATCACGACGAGTTTCGATCTCATTTGATCTCACCAGGTGAATATATCAGGCTCATTGTAACCCAGTGGGTAAACAGCATCTGGATACTATTCAAATGGTCTTGGCTACAGGGATGCTCTCCTCAACTTACGAGATCAAATGGGGTCACATCGTGTCATCGTTTTGCGTAACACTTAATTCCCATCTTCTTTGTTTCTGCCCATTTAATCACAATGTGAAGGGTATTTTACTTTTTAATTGCAAGTAGGAAGTTATTCACATAACTACGTCCAGTCGACACTCTGAGCAATGAAATATGTTACGATTTAGCCCGACAGGGGGTCGCTGATGCATAGTCGTTAGAATGCTTCATAAACCTAGATCTATTATATTAACCTACTCCTCATTTTTATAAGAATGGGCACTGGTAATCCATGGTCAACTCAATGTGCACGACCGCCGTTGATGAAAACCTCAGTTCTCAGGAACAATACCTTGGTTGTGTTACAGATATATTACCAAGACCAAGGCAGTTATGAATTGCATGACCTTGGACGACGTTTTTCCTAAGATAGCTTCTTCGACAATACGCCCATAGCCAAATTTATGCAGTGAACGAAAACTCCTGAGTTTGCGCCCGATGGATAACGAACCAAAATGTGGAGGCACATTGCGTTCACAATGCGAGCGTTGCTTTAATTCCCTTACTTGTTGGACAATAATAGTCCAGAGCAGGAACGATAAAATCCTAGCCATTTTCTAGGCTAATCACGATTTTACAATAGTGTATGGTCCGTGCCGACAGCCTACGACATAAGCTGCTGACGCGCTCATGTGCCGTATGTGATCAGTTGAAGGCATTGGTTATGGTTATCAAAATATACAGCAGTTCAGTAGTGTATGACGGGGTAATATGCATAACTCTACACAACCCACAGAATAGAAAATACCTAAGGAACATAAAATCAAAAGTATTCCAATGTAGAACATGAATCATTAGTAGTAAATACATCGCAGTTTATCACAATATTTTGGAACGTTTAACCCTGTGACGGAAGTATAGAAGTCTCTTAAATATCACGATATCTGCGATTGCACCGCATGGGGTGGTAGTGCATCCCAGTTGGAACAGAATTTAAGAGACAAAAAGACTTCCTTCTATCCAAATTGCATGGTTGCCTTACTAGTTTCAGATGATGTCCTTGACATTTTCGTAATGAGCTAGGGTCAGCCGTTGGTATTCTGAAGAAAACACACAAAGTAAAGGAAGGCGCACTCCGTAACTGAGGCCGTTACGTCCATGTGTTGTCTTGTTAGCCCTTCACTGAGGTTGCTCAAAAGACGAATAGATATTTTAATCTTGGGTTCAGGCCTTAAGCGCAACTTCAGTATGGGAACTAAAGTAAATGTTAATAAAATTTAGTACTAGCCGTCGCCCAAAGGTGTTGAGAGCTCCCCACAAAAGCTTTAAGTACAAGTACGCAACATTCGCTGTTTTCGAGCATTACAGCGGATTGCCAAGATGTTCTTTGATGCTGATACCTGAGACAAGTTCACTAGGTACCAATAACAAAACTAGCAGTCTCAGAAGGGATGTGTTGCTGAAGCTGTGGCGCACCCTCAGCAAGTGACAACTTGCAGGGTTAAGTGGGAACTAGTACGCTTACTGCCCATTTGTTAATCGGGTCCAGCTCGTTCTGGAGAGGCACGGTCAGATGCTTAGCAAATTGCTCTCTGTATTTAAGCAGTATCCGCAAGTTTGTGTATCAAGGATAAAATGTTTTCTGGGACATTATTTATGTAAACTAAAACTGTAGTGGGCCGACGCGAAATCCATGCGGTATAGGTGGCGGCATCCAGTTTCGGATTCGCCTGTCACTGTAGCCAGCCACAGGACTCCTGCGCCTACTAAAAGACCATTGGTGGCTTGCGTTCTTCCACCCAGAGCACTAGTCTCACACCACATTACCAGTGTAAACCCGAAGGAATAAGACCGGGAGGCATGTGGATGTGAGGCAGGTTACATCTACAGAGTCTGCCTTCTCTCCTTTATAGGCAAAAACAAACTCGTTGCATTTGGGAATCAAGCGCATACAATGCGGTGACTGAAATGTAGTCCGCTCCACATTGACTGTATGGATCCTCTCTTCGAGCCTAGTAGGGCCACAAAGACCGTGCATCCCCTCCCGACCAGCAACGTCCAACTGTCTCCTGGAACTATTATGGACGAGGTGGTGGATAATAGACAGGTAGGCAGCCTGACAACATACACATCAAGTGCAGCCACGCCGGGGATACCAAGGAACAGCCAATCACTTAAAACGACGAGATCAAATAAGAAAAATCGAATAACGAATAAAGATAGGGTGATAGAATGATATTATGAAATATATTGGTTAACAAAATATCGGCTGTAGGTTCAAGGCGTCAGAAAATATATTTTAAAAAGCTGTTACAAACCTAAAAATATTATAAATGTAATTACAATCAACTTGAGCCAGGTGTTCAAGTTAGCAGAAGATAGTTCAAGTAGACATTAAGGAGACAATATAGCAAACCCCCCACCAGAAATAAAGAGACCCAGTACGCAAGCTAGCGGTCAGTAAATAAAATGCAGCGTACCTGCAAACGCTGCGCTGGTTCAGCTTACATTCACTGCAGGACCCGTCATGGTTTCAGTGTTTGCCCCTAGTGGGTTCGAGTATTACACACTATACCTGCCTTACTCAGGCGCTCTTGACTGCGTGTGATACAGCACCATGCGCTCCACGTTGATAGAGTACAAGCCATCGGTGCCTGCCGCTTCCACACTTGCCTGTTCTTCTCCGCAAGCATGAG